TTTTTCATTTGTTTTGTATCTTTGTTGTTCATTTTTACTATCATACTCAAATCTTATAAGTACCTACTTATGTAACTGTATTTTGTGATATTTTTGAGTATTTTCAAATTGAGAATTCGGAATGATTATTTTTTATGAGAATGTTTGTTTTGTTTGTTTCAATTTTCTTGGAAATAGGTTACTTTTCTGTTTACTTACCTACATAATGTTTTGACGTCATAGGTTTATTTCATTATTCTTTCTTGGAATTCGTGTAGCATAAAATAATCTGAATTTTTGACAAAGTAGTTACTGATGAAATAAAAATCGAACTGGCAACACTGGTTCGCACGGAGAGTGAGTTGACAACAGCTGTCATTTGCTGTTGTCAAATAAATTATCCACGAAATCCGATAGATTTCAAGTGTGAATAGGACCGTGATGTGGATATAAGTGTTTGAGGTCAACGAATAAATGTAATATGCACCTCAACAAAAAACTGTCTATTGTCTCGCCTGATTGCTAGCCTCGGCTATCAATTTGTAGACTCGACTATAATAGACAGTGTTTCGTCCTTGGTACATAAATAACTATTGTATCCTAATATTCAATTCGCTCTTGTATTGAATACTTAATTAGTTAATACTTCTTCCAGAGTATTTGCCCACTAACTAGCTTTTCCATTTAGATCGATAATGGCCCAGCTCTCAGAACAAACATTTTTATGAAATTTAGACAGGCCCAGTATTGCTACATTCCTAATTTTAATAAATGATTTTGTCATGTAAGAGAACTTAACCCTAATGGAGATGAGTTTGGGTCTTTATTAGAATATACGATATGAGTAAAATCTGTTCCTTATTCTTACCTGCATACCAATCAACAGATCAAATAGCTGAGAACACTAATTTCCGTGTTAATTTCTGATCATGATTAGAAAATACCCAAAGACCAAGGATGTTTTCAAATCCTGCATTCATACCTGTTTTTCCATAATAAATTTCCAAAAAATTACCGTGTGTGTTATGAATATGGAGACAAATCGTGTGCGGTAATGATGTTACAAGTATAGTCTATCTAAAGTCAATTGAAGCGTCTCCTGAACCGCGCGGCGTTTCAGGAGTGATGTGCCATACCCGCTTATCTTCTTTGGAAGAAAGTTTACTCACTCCGTAACTATTCTAGAATTCCAAAGATTAGGAGGAATGAATGCGATGGTTGAAGGCTATCAAAGAACTACTGAAGAAGATCATGCCGACTTCAAAATCGAACATCTTGTTAACTTTGTTAGAAATGCTTGGTTAAAAAGATATGTATTAATTTTTTGTCTTAGCTTTTCAAACAAGAATATATGTTATTAAATAATAACTCATAAAGCATTGTTATTCGAATTTAACGTTAACGTTCCATAGAATACCATTATTTGATCCTCTTTCCGGCGATACGCCTATATTATGTGTGGCTCGGTTTCATATGAGTGTTCTAAATGCGCATAGTGCAAGGTCTCCAGTTGTTGAGTATATGTAGATATGCCAGTTGATTTGGCAACGTTGCACGAGAACGACCCCGACCTATCGATTTAGACTGAGTAGGGTTGAGAGTGAGTAGCGTCCTATACACTGGCAATATAACACGTATATAATAGTTAAAGTTGAAGTAAGCAAGTTCATCATGATAGTTTATTTCACGTTCCATAACATGGTGGTCTTCCAAGCTACAGTATACATTCACGATCATTGGTCCAATCGAACCGGATAGTGCCAGAATGAAAAATAATTGGTAATCATTATCTAAAGCAAATTAATACACGGAAATACAAGTGTTACTCGAAATAAGTTTTCGCCTTCCGAATCTCAAAGCATGTTCCTGTAAAGATGATAACCAGACATCACTCAAGAGCAGGTATAGCCGTTTCAAGGACAAGTCAGCACCCTTGATAGATTAGCCACCATCAACCACTCGAGAAAAAAGCACTTATTCCTGTTTATATTACCATCCATTATCTATATTTCCCAATGGGCAGTTCTTTTGACTGTAGGTCCATTTGTACACATCTGGTTACGGTTTTAACTTTAGAATATATACCTATAATTCATAGACCCTTTTTAAAATGTCGACTCCTGCAGAGGTTGAAATTGTAGAGTTGAGAAAATCACGTGGGATATTGAGAGGGCAATTAACACGCTTTCAAAGTTATCTGAGATCAACAGATAGACAAAAAGACATTGGCGAGTTAGAAATTCGATTGAAAAAGGTTGAATCAGTTTTTGAGGAATTTGATAAAATTCAATCACGATCAGAGATATGAGATATTGAATATATAATATAATAGTTATACACACACTGGCACAATTAGGGGAACGGGCAAAATTTACATTAAGTTTGACATCAATTTTCTTTCGAACCGATCGCTCGATTCAAATTTTTTTTCTTCACGAAATGTAGCTTCATTCTTCACGAATACATCTGAGAAATAATTACCTTCAAACGATGAGTCTTTCCATCATATACAGGGGTGTAAAGAAAGTACGGATTTTGCGGTATTTTTTCAGACATCCTGTGGACTGAACCACTGATAATTGAAAAGATTTTCAACACCAAATTGGAGCCCAATCTATTCCGAATATTTTCGTTTTTTATTCATCTTGATATCTCAATTATTCAAGAGTTTCAAAGGAAAGGTGGATATTGGTATCAATTTTACACCTCAAAACTCAAATTGGATCTGAAAATGTGTCGTTTCTTGACTAACCTAACCTAACCGTGACTAAACCTCTGCCATAGGAGACAGAAGCAGTAAAATCAAATTGTTCATTTTGTTCACCTCGGCGATATAGTCTTTCCCTGCCATCTATTGAATTGGTGCAGATGCGGCTCTCATATGTTAAAAGAACATTGGCCCACTGGTCATTTTCAATTAATGCTACAGCCTTCGCCACATCAGTAGGAGTCGAATCTCTCATGTTGAATTTTCATTAATCAAATTTATGAATTGTGAATCGCTTGACTTTGATAATAATTAATGACATTAACAAAATAGCCAACGTTGATTAACAAAAATAGCATTTCACCAAAAGAACATTGGAGCAACTTTTATCACCCCTGCATATTCATGAGAGTATTCGTATATGTGTCTTTAAACAGTAAACCGATAGGTAAAACTGAACAATTCTCATCTTGAAGTAAAAATCCTCACAGAAACAAGTTGAAAAACGACACGTTCTCCCCAGTTCGAGTTTCGAGGTGGTAAAATTAATACCAATATCCACCTCTTCTTTGAAACTCTATATTTTCTTGGATAATTGGGATATCAAGATGAATTAAAAACCAAAATATTCGGAATAGATTGGGCTCCAATTTGGTGTTGGAAAATCGTTTCAATTATCAGTGGTTCACTCCACAGGATGTCTTAAAGAATACCGAAAAATCCGCACTTTCTTTACACCCCTGTATATGATATAAAGACGAATCGTTTGGAGGTGGATATTTATCAGATGTGTTCGTGAAGAATGAAGCTACAATTCGTGAAAAACAAATTTGAATCGAGTGATCGGTTCGAGAGAAAATTGATGTCAAACTTAGTGTAAATTTTACCCGTTCCCCTAATTGTGCCAGTGTGTGTATAATAGTGCACGTTGAGTACAATTAAGTTAAGTAAGCAACTCCACCACGACAGTTTATTTCACGTCCCTAAACAGGGTGGTCCTTCAGTACATACACAAAAGAATATCAGTTCTGGTCAGGCTCTTACGACACAAAAGCTTGCCTTATATATCATCACGGTTTTGCGGGCGTAAAGATACACGTTGGTAAATTTGTTTGGTCACCTGTTATACATCCAAGCAAATCTGTATTATACTTAAAAAGAAAACACCTCAGTAACAAATATATCTATATAATATATAAATAAAAATCACAAATATGCCTATTATAAAATATAAAATAAGTTTCAAGTGAAGAGGATAACACACCTCAAAACTAAATTCATATTTACATAATTGAATCAAAATTAACAGTCCATAAAAACCATTATGACAGTTAGTAGGTAGCATCAATGATTTTGTGTATTAATGTAATCACAAATAGTTATTTATACATAATGGTAGTAAAGAAGGGACTTACCCGGACACATTGCCGAATGGACAAAACGCCAAGTTCTTGGACAAAACGCCGAAACAGATCGGTGGACATATTCCCGAATGCACAAGACACCGAATAGACATTTGGCCAAGTTCTTGGCCAAAACGCCGAAACAGATCGGTGGAAATATTGCCGAATATGTCCCCAATGCCGAAACACGCCATTGGAAAAGTGAATGAATTTGTCAAAAGGCCGCATCAGTTCTTTGGATACATCGGCGTCGGCGAAAGTGGTAAAAAAATCGCCATGTCGTCAAATTGCCGAAACAGCTTACCTGGCCATCCCTCTGTAACTTTTGGGTTCAAGAACACATTTCGATATTCAGACAGATTGAAATTACTCAAATTTTGTATTTGTTGATGCTATCTCATCTTGTACCATCAACGCACAAAAACCCAAAGCACAACTTACGTTTCAGGCACATACTCGGGTGAAACGGAGTTTCTGTAATTTGTGATTGTCAGTTTCACTGTTGACAGTACAGATTTATGAAGGTTGTAAATAGATTACTTTGTGTAATGAGAATGAAAAATCGCTCATGAGTTCGTTCCACTTTGCGCCTTCACAAGAGGGTTCGACAGCAACGAATATGGTGCTGAGTGGAACAGCAAAATTGTCATTAAGATTGTCCAACAAACAAGCACTTGAATATTTTTCTGTCAAAATTCCAATACTTCTGATCTGATTTTTGAATCGTGTTTAGGTGTTTGTGACCACCTTGAAATACTTTTGGTTTGGTCCCTTTCTCTGGGAAGAATTTGAATTATACCATCACACAACATAATGATTTTTTGAACGTATAACTTACCGTCTTATTTCGACATGTCATTTATATGTTTCAATGAATTCATCAATAATAATGAAATATCAATAATGCAAAGTTGATAAAACGACCAACATTATTTGTTCCGAATTTTTCTCGTAGAACGTTTTGATGGAACATTCGCTCACGCCGCTTCTTCTTTCATCATCCTTTCCACTTTTTTCGACATGAATTCGATGATGGGAGAATCTTCGTTCGAACTTTCGAACGAAAGGGAGGGAATGAAGGATTTCAGTCCTCGGAGCCTAGAGTATCTGAACAATTCATGAACGGGATGGCTGACTGCGCTTTCGAACTGATACCATTATTTCTATGGAGCGCTGGGGATTTCGTTTTTAAATTGAAACACATTGTTACAAATAATCTGCGTGGACATAAATTCACACATACAGTACACAATGACCAGTGGGTAGCGTATCGGCCTGATATGCCAAAGGTTGTGGGTTCTTATCCCGTAATCCACCAACTTTTTTTTTTCGAAGTGATTAATTGAAAAAAAATACTGTGGAGGGATTTACAGATGAGTTATTTAATCTTTAAGGATGTTCGAATTGTAGTTTCAATATAAATATTATAAATTAACTAGGTAACCTATGTTGTTTATTCTTGATGACCTAGAGCATCCTTTTTAGTTCCCAGGAGCTAAAGTTCAATTTTAGCTCCTAGGAACTAAGTGTTGCCTAGCAACATACCTATTTTTGTGTCAGTAATAGAAACGTCAACTTCAAGAGCTAATTTTGGAAATAAAAATGGACGGCTTTTGTGTCGGTTGCAGAAAAAATTACTTATGCAGATTGTCTTATAAAAACGCCGCTAGCTGTATTTTGGCCAGAAAAATCGAGTACCTGAATCGAAGGATTTTGAAATTTACTGGTTGGTTTAGTCAGGAATCAAAAGTCCATGTCATTAAACAAATTTACATCAACAAGTTGTGAAATTTGACATATATTTCAATCCACCGACTTAAAAACTTTTACTTGAAACCAAAACAACTCAAGTCGTAATGGCGTTGACCGGTAAGCTATTACGGTGTTATGACTACTTCGGCGATATGCAGAAAGAGTCGTTTCGACGTTTTGACAAAGAATTCGGCGTTTTATCTACTCGGCGAAATATTATGGACTTGTGATGAATATCATCATTATCTACGGACAACGATTATATCTAGAGGCCTCAGCCAAGGAGTGAGATCGAGTAGTAATAATATTCTTTACTACCAAGGCGTATATCAAATTTTATTCACTACTAACCACTTGAATGCTCTAATTTCATAAGGTTTGTGATGCAGAGCTCGAAACTCATTACAAGCAGCGCGCAACGATGAGTTGGGTACCTTAACTTCTACTGAAAGTTATAGGATTTGACCCCATTGACAGTTGGGTATGTCAGTTATTCATGAAAATAACAAATCTATTGTAGTAGTAAGCGGTAGAGTAGAACCATTTGTCATGTTAAATATAAGTCAATAATAGTATGTGTTTTAGGTTAGCAGTGAATAAACAAATTTTACAATGCTCCGATGAGTATTTGAAAATATAAATAATAAAAAAAAACAATAAATTACCCGTCCAAAGATTCGTCAATGATGCCTTGCCATCCACTCTCCTTGAATTTCCGGCAGTTTTCCAAGACAACTGCAGCTAAATTCTTTACGCGCATGGGAGGTAAAGGGTGCATTATAACTTCTTGAAGCAAATGAAGTCCGCCTTCTGTTTCTACTAATACGCAATACTTCTCGGCTGAAAATCAAAAAAGTTATGTTATTATCGAATATATTGGCAATACCAGCAGAGCCAGATTAACCACAGGCTAAGATAGGAGCATCTGCCCTGGAAAAAGTCAGAATTGGGGGGCGAAGGTTTGGTCAATAAGTATCATAATATGATAATCCAGGCACAAGTCATCTCCACAAATTTATTATCAGAATTATCTAAACATGTTTTGGACTATCGTTAGTCCATCATCAGCAGTATGATTTAAGCAATTTCTACAAAGAAAAGTTTTTTATAATAAGACTAAATATTACCTTAGGTCATGTACTCACGTGAAAGTGAAAAAAATTGACAACAGCAATCAGTTATGAGATAAAATGTGAATATTAATAGAGGGCAAAGTGCCCATAGCCCAAAGAGAGCTTTTGCCCTCTATTAATATTTCCATATTATTTTATAACTGATGCTGTTGCCTCTTGTTTTCACTTCCACGTGAATAATAATAATAATATAATATTTATTTACCACATAATAGGTCATAGGACATTGGAATACATAACCTAAGGTAATATTTAGTCTTACTATAAAAAACTTTTTTGTAGACATTTCTTATATCATACTGCTGATGATAACTGAACAAATGAAAATTGAAGAGATTGCAACTTCTCCTGAACTTTATTGATTGAATCTTCTGTTTCAACAACACGTCGTCATGTTAACAACTCAAATGTTAGGGTAATACAGTTACCCAACTGATTATATAGGGTGAAAATATATGTAGGGTGAAAGTACTATAAACATCTACCATAGAATGATATAATAATATCCAGTTATCACGGCCTAGCGACATTTTCCTGTTGAACATCGAACATGAGTTGCTGAATACACGTGATGGACGATGCACTATGAGAAATTCATATCGCTCAAGACCAGAAACAGAGCTCATTAAGAGGAGAGTTTCAACCAAATCGACATGCAGGCCTGCACTAGTTGTTGTTATTTAGGCTTATGAATGATTCAATTGAAAAACTGATTGAATCATCGTAAAGAAGAAGGTTGGGACTAGGACCTGGTTATCATACGGAGTCGAAACTCATTTATTTATAGAAGATACAGATTTTTGAAAAACGTAAACATTGAAATTTTTTTGTCTCAAATTGAAATAATTTCGATCTCAGTACAATTGTTGGAAATTCGGCGAGGTGTCACTGAAATATCAGCTCTTGAAATGTTTCCATTCGGACAGGAAGCAACAAAAACGATTATTCTGTCAACAAAATATCCATTTCTCCCAGCTGATCTCGGTAAACTCCATTTCTTGAAAGAATATAATGCAGGAAACTAGGATGTGGTAGTTCAGGCACTACCTGATAGATGGCAGTGTTCGAAATGACAGACAGCGGCAGAGATGAATGGTGCATTTCATTGCAAGCAGATGGCGCTTAGGAGAGATGATGAATTCAAACCCGTTTACACCGTTGCCAATGTTATACATATTACTCGGACATATTATGAAATCTAGGCGACGTGATAATACACTTATCTGGGCATATTTCAAGGGGAGGTTCTCCGAGTGTTTGTAAGACGAACTAATCTAATATATAAAATTCTCCTGTCACGGTCACGGTGATAGTGGTCGAACTCCTCCGAAACGGCTCGACCGATTCGTATTTTCGTAATTTTTTGTGCGTATTCGGTAGGTATGAGAATCGGTCGTAATCTATTTTTTAAATAGAAAATACAAAATGGCGGATCCAATATGGCGACCGAGTATAGTTATCCGATTTCATTCAAAATTGGTACTGAGGGGTTTTCGGGGCGGAGATTATGAATACTTCGACAAATTTTGGAAATTCAAGATGGCGGATCCAATATGGCGGACGAGCTTTGTAATTATGGTCAGATTCCATCCAAAATTGGTATCTGGGGGTTTTCGAGGTCGGTGATTATGATTTCTTCATCAAAATAAGGAAATTCAAAATGGTGGATCCAATATGGCGGACGAGTTTTGTAATTATTTTTTTATCGCTTGGAGCGCACGAAACGAAATCCCTATAGTGTTCTAAGAACATCGTGCGTTCCTAGGGAGGATAGGGACAGGAGGTAGGTATTGGAGTTTTTTTGAACTTCTATGGAGATTATATGTTGTTGGGAATACTTCCTCAGGCACTGAATTCCAGAGCCTAGCCGTTCTATGGATAAAGGAGTTTTGATAAAGTGCTGTTCGACATCTTTCGAGGTTGACAACGAAAGGATGTGCTGACTGGGCTTGTCTACTTTGTCTGACTGGTATTGCTAGTGGAGGGATGATAGCAGAGATTTCTGAAGAACATTTCCCGTGGAAGTATCGATAAAAAAGTGAAAGGTCGCCGACCTTTTCACGGTGTTTCAATGATGTCAAAGAGTGAGTGAGTGTGGCGTCACCCACCAGGCGAATGGCTCTTTTCTGGATGGAATCTAAGAGCATCAGTGTATGTTTTGGTGCTGAACAGAATAGATTGGTCAGGGATTATGATTTTTTATCAAAATTAGGAAATTCGAAATGGCGGATCCAATATGACGGACGGGTTTTGTAATTATGGTCAGATTCTATTCAGAATTGGTATCTGGAGGTTTTAGAGGTCGGAGATGATTATGAACCATTTGTCAAAATGGGGAAATTCAAAATGGTGGATCCAATATGGTGGACGAGTTTTTTAATTATTATGATCAGATTCTATGTAAAATTGGTATCGGGGGGTTTTCGGAGTCGAAAATAATGATTCTTTTATCAAAATTTGGAAATCCAAGATGGCAGATTCAATATGGCTGACGAGTTTTGTAACTTAATCCGATTCCATTCCAAATTTGTATATGGGTGATTTTGGGATGGGAGATTATGATTCTTCATCAAAATTAGGAAATTGAAGATGGAGGATGGCAACTGAATTTTGTAGTTATGATCCGATTCTATTCAAAATTTGTATCTGGGTGTTTTCGGGGTCGGAGAAGAATTAGAAAACAAATTAATAAAAGTATGTTGATAAATATTCAAATAAAAAAATATTTTCTGGAAATAATTGTATATAGCAGAACAACGTTTGCCGGGTATCAGCTATTGTAATAAATATTAGTTTGAAAAACTAATGAAACACCTTTTTATAGAGTCATACTAAAAAGAAGTGAGTAGAAAATAAAGAGTAGTTTGAAAAAATTAAGAGGTATAGAGAACCGAACTAAAAAGAAGTAGAAAATAAATAGAGTAGTTTGAAACAGCCTAGAATTTGTCACTGAATTATAAATATATATAGACCTGAAAATTTAAACATACAAATTCAGCAAAATTTCTTCAATTCTATTCATGAGATCGATAATTATGTCAGCATAGATGGAAATAATAGGAATGGCACAGTTGTGGAACAAACTTTAAAAAGCTTTGTTGATCTGTGTCAAAAGTTCAGGTTATTTCACTCTAAAACTCATGCAAAAACATTCGTCTCAGAGTACAGTTATCAGATTTTGGATCCATTGATATGGCGATATTCACGAAGGATAATACCGATACAGCCACGGCAACAAAACAAAAATGAGCGAGAAATCGTTATATGTCTCTCTCCCTCCCGCGGCGAACCGGGGGGATATTCATTAGTCGCGCGGTGATTCCCCGTCTTTCCGCAGTCCGCCACGTGCCACTTTGAATTGCATGAACTTCAGATGAACTTCAAACTAACCGGCATATAAACTAATAATTGAAAAGCCAGTGTTGCAAGGTGCTGCAAATGATATGTCGCAAAAATTCATGAGAATGGGCAGAAAAGCGAGGCAACGGAAAAGTCAGCCACATACGAAATATTTGAAAATATAGCAGCCGCTTTTCGAGACATTTGGAGACGTTATCGAACATCCAGTTCATGTTTTAGAGAATTATCGTAGGTAGATACTTCATATTCCACTTGCATCTTCTTTGGGGAAGATTTTTGAAATTCAATGAATGCCGTGATATCAAAATTTTCTTTGAAATACATACAGGGATATTCATTCAAAATGATCAATGTGTGAGCTAGAAATAGTAAACATCAGAATATCAAGATTCAGCCTCACATCTCACATCTCACATAGAAAATGCTGTTAGTTTTGGAGAAACAGGGTGTACAAGGAAAATATTTCATCTTGAAATTCCTCATACAATAACTTTGTAAGTTTTATATCAGCATGAAAATGGTCAATGTGAGAGCTAGAAATAGTAAACATCAGAATATCAAGATGCAGCCTCACATCTCTCATAGAAAATGTTGTTAGTTTTTTGAGAAACAGGTTGTTCAAGAAAAATATTTCATTTTAAAATTCCTCATACAATAACTTTGTAAGTTTTATATCAGCATGAACATAATTTTCTTATGTTTCTCATTATAATTCGATTTTTAAATGATTTAAAAAAAGTTGACCATTAAAACAAAATGGATTGTGAGATATAGAAAGCATATGATGGCAAATCAATTTCTCACCGTTATGTCGAAGACCGAAACCAGGGAATCCTGGAAACTTTGGTACGATAATCACACTCACACTATACACTGTTTTATCACTATCAAACAGAATTTTTATCAACCCGACAAACTTTATTACCTAAAAAAATTCGCTGTCTAAGATAGACTAACAAAAACTTTTGAGATGGTGTTTGCTTGAATCTCCTAATTTTGACAAATGATTCAAAATCTCCGACCCCTGAAACACCAGTAAAAATTTCGAATAGAATCGGATAATAAAATTAGAAAACTTGTCCGCTATATTGGATCTGCAATCCTGAATTTCCAAATTTTGACGATAGAATCATAATCTCAGACCCCAAACACCCTTATATATAAATTTTGAAAAGGATAGAATCATCATCACATAACTCGTCCGCCATATTGAATCCGTCATCTTGAATTTTTTCATTTCGGGATTCATAATCTCCGACCCCAAAAAACCCCAGATACAAATTTCAAATAGCATCATAGAATCATAATTACGAAACTCGTGCGCCATATTGGTAGAGCCATGATGAA